AATCAGCAAAATAAAATTCACCAAAACACTTTTGGCTTTTGTGTAAACTTTGAAAAAAAGGTCAACGCTGAAAAAAAAAATCACTTTAAAAGGACAAACACCATTATAACAAATACAAGAAATGTAATAGGACACAAGGGGATAAAGAAATCCTTCAAAGATAAAGCCATTAGGATAATTGTTCACAACAGTCACAGGCAATGGGAGGTGAAGTAGTAGATTTTTTTTTTTTTTTTTTTTTACATATAAAGACTGCAAAAAACAGATATGAGATTCAGTAAGGCTCAATCTCTGGATACAGGGAAGGAGAGTGTACTTTATACCTTTCCTTTACAGGAATCTCAATATCATTATTATACAATGTTTAAACCTTTTATTGCTTTTTCTGTTCTCTTGTCCTGAATTCATAATTTAAGGAATCAATATTTTTTCAGTATATCTTTGTATGATCCTATCTAAACGGTATGCCTTTAGCTGTAAATATTTTCTATGCAATAGTAGGGTGTAGGGGTGAACAGAATTATTTTAGCAAAATTTCTCTATTAATACAAAATTTTGTCATAGACAACATTTTGCTAGATTGGAAACTCTCAGTTTCACTCATTGAGCTTCTTAGGCAAAATTACTCTTTCCTTTATTGGGTGTTTTTTTTGAAAATGGGTGTATTTAGTGCTGTTTATTTTATTTAGTATGTTTGTATTATTTTGTATGTTGTGTGTTTTTGTGTTGTGTTTCCTTTAGTGTGTGATTGATTTTTAGTTAAGTGTCACTTAAAGAAATGTGAATGTCACATCACTTTTATTATACTTTTTTTTTCTATTTTTTTCTGGTAAAAAGAAAAAAAATATATATATATATATATTTAATTTACACACACTATATTGCCAAAAGTATTGGGATGCCGGCCTTTACATGCACATGAACTTTAATGGCATCCCAGTCTTAGTCCGTAGGGTTCAATAGTGAGTTGGCCCCGCCCTTTGCAGCTATAACAGCTTCAACTCTTCTGGGAAGGCCGTCCACAAGGTTTAGGAGGGTGTCTATGGGAAGGTTGGACCATTCATCCAGAAGCACATTTGTCAGGTCAGGCACTGATGTCGGGGGAGGAGGCCTGGCTTGCAGTCTCCACTCTAATTCATCCCAAAGGTGTTCTATGGGGTTGAGGTCAGGACTCTGTGCAGGACAGTCAACTTCCTCCACCCCAAACTCGCTCCTCCATGTCTTTATGTACCTTGCTTTGTGCACTGGTGCACAGTCATGTTGGAACAGGAAGGGGCCATCCCCAAACTCTTCCCACAAAGTTGGGAGCATGAAATTGTCCAAAATGTCTTGGTATGCTGACGCCTTAAGAGTTCCCTTCATGAGAACTAGGGGGCCAAGCCCAACCCCTGAAAAACATCCCACACTATAATCGTCCCTCCACCAAACTTTACACTTGGCACAATGCAGTCAGGTAAGTACCGTTCTCCTGGCAACCGCCAAACCCAGACACATTCATTGGATTGCCAGACAGAGAAGCGTACTTGGTCACTCTAGAGAACACATCTCCACTGCTCTAGAGTCCAGTGGCGGCGTGCTTTACACCACGGCATCCGACGCTTTGCATTGCACTTGGTGATGTAAGGCTTGGATGCAGCTGCTCGGCCATGGAAACCCATTCCATGAAGCTCTCTACGCACTGTTGTTGGGCTCATCTAAAGGCCACATGAGGTTTGGAGGTCTTTAGCTATTGACTCTGCAGACAGTTGGTGACTTCTGCGCACTGTGCGCTTCAGCATGCGCTGACCCCACTCTGTCATGTGACGTGGCCTACCACTTGGTGGCTGAGTTGCTGTTGTTCCCAGTTGCTTCCACTTTGTTATAATCCCACTAACAGTTGAGCGTGGAATATTTAGTAGCCAGGAAATGTCACGGATGGACTTATTGCACAGGTGACAACCTATCACGGGACCACGCTTGGAGTCACTGAGCTCCTGAGAGCGACCCATTCTTTCACCAATGTTTGTAGAAGCAGTCTGCATGCCTAGGGGATGGATTGTATACACCTGTTGCTATAGAGGTGATTGGAACACTTGAATCCAAAGATTTGAAGGGCTGGCCTAACACTTTTGCAATATAGTGTAGATATATATCTCTATATAAAAGTGCGGTAACTTTTTGAAGACCCCTTGTGTGTGTGTATATATATATATAGAGACGCTAATGAGGGACATAAGAATGGGTCCAGGATTGTTATAAGAAATTTTAATGCATTTTATAGGGTGCATTCACACTTGAGAATACACCCTGCCTGCGATTATAACTGAGAACCACAACAAGAGTTCCTGCGATTAGCTGTGAGAGGCAACCCCATTAAAAGTCAGGCACTGGGCACAATTTTTAAATCAGAAAAAACCACAGCGCCCAGGACCAATCTATTGACAAACAGTTATAAGTGAAATGCTGCTGTGCATAGGTATATAAACCAAAACAAATATTCCAATATAAACCAGCGCAAAACACAATTAATAAATAATAAATAAATATAAAATAATTTTCAAAGTCCAGTGATGAAAATAAGTGACCACAATACCGTGACACAAAAATCTAAAAAAAAATATATATATAAAAGTCCAGTGATCTAAAAAAAACTTTCTTAAAAAATATAATAAACTTCAGTGCTTCAAATAATTCTTCCACCATCCACCAGAGCCAAAAACCAACATAAACCGCACTCACCAGATATTGGTGAGTAAAACACCTTTCAGGATTATTTAGGGCTCCTGGACCCCCTTTGAGGACTCCTCTATTTTCCACCTCAGATCTATGGGTGATTCTTCAATCGTCTCCTCGCCACACCACCAAGTTCCAAAAGGGAGAAAAAAAAATGAATAGTGTGATACTGTTATGCCCCTTTTATAATTAATTCATGCCAAACCACTCACATTTCAAAGGATAAAAACCAGCATTTATTTAAGGACATCATACGAATTTTCGAGTAACAAATACGAACTTCCACAGCTCCTAAGAACTCACAGCCTTGTATACAGCAGGATGACAGCCTCCATAACAAACGAACTTTCTTACGAACTTTCTTTGCTCGTCAAAAAAAAATGACCGCCTGGAACACATCCCTCGGCGAGCGTTCCACTCACCGAAAATGACGTCGAACGTTCGGGGATCCGACCGGAAATACGTCAACGCGTTTCGCCCCACCCACAGGGCGTTCTCAAGACAGGTCTGGAGAACGCACTGTGTGGGTGGGGCGAAACGCGTTGACGTATTTCCGTACGGGACAGGTCTTGAGAACGCCCTGTGGGGGGGGCGAAACGCGTTCGCAGATTGGTCATGTGTGCCAGGTCATCAGGCCTCTTTTCCCACATGTTGGTGGTGGCAACCATTGTGATTGATGATGGAATTATGAGGAACTTTTTGGGAATTTTCTTTTTTTAAATAAAGAGCTTGTCAAACATTTGGGTGTCTTTATTTTTAGGTTGCTTTTTTTTTTTTTTTTGGAAAAGAGTTGGTATACTATGAACCCCTTACTCATTCACAATGGGGTGTGTGTCTGAGGGCTCTTTATTTTTAAAGGGGGCTTCCCAATTCTAAACTCCCCCACCCACATACCCCCATATCCACCAGCCAGGGTTGTAGGGAAGAGGTACTTGTCCTCATCAACATGGGGGCAAGGTGCTTTGCTAGTGGAGTGTTCCCCCTGGCAAGGTGTCCCCCCTCCCCCATGACAAGGCTGTGAGTTCCTAGGAGCTGTGGAAGTTCGTATTTGTTACTCGAAAATTCGTATGATGTCCTTAAATAAATGCTGGTTTTTATCCTTTGAAATGTGAGTGGTTTGGCATGAATTAATTATAAAAGGGGCATAACAGTATCACACTATTAGTTTTTTTTTCTCCCTTTTGGAACTTGGTGGTGTGGCGAGGAGACGATTGAAGAATCATCCATAGGTTTGAGGGCGAAAATAGAGAGGAGTCCTCAAAGGGGGTCCAGGAGCCCTAAATAATCCTGAAAGGTGTTTTACTCACCAATATCTGGTGAGTGCGGTTTATGTTGGATTTTGGCACTGGTGGATGGTGGAAGAATTATTTGAAGCACTGAAGTTTATTATATTTTTTAAGAAAGTTTTTTTTAGATCACTGGACTTTTTATATATATATTTTTTTTTAGATTTTTGTGTCACGGTATTGCGGTCACTTATTTTCATCACTGAGCACTATTTGCACCCACGTTCATGTAACCTGCAATCACATGCGAGTGATCGGCCCTGCTTTCAATGGGGCTGCCTCTCCCAGCTAATCATGGGAACTCCTGCTGGGATTCTTACATATCATTTTAGGAAGGGTGCATTTGCAAGTGGGAATGCACCCTAAATCAAGATATAAGCTATGCAGCCATTCTTAGTCGTTTATTTAAAAAAAGTCCTAATTTGTACATTTTGTAAAGAATTTTTGCAGTAAAATTTAAATTTTGTAACTGTATTTGCTCATGTAGACTATACAATTAAAGTTGAACTTTACCTTACACATTTTCAAGCAGGAAAGCCTAAGGCAGGAAGGAAAGCAGGTTAAAATGGACAGCAGTTTTCTTTAGCACTTTTAAAAACATATTTATTTGTGCTGTAGAGATGAATATTTCATTGTTACTATCAGGTAATTTCTGTCTCTGTGGATCATGAATGGTAATCATGAACAGGAAAAATGGCACAGTAGGAGAAGATTTTATTCTGTTGGGGTTCCAAGGCCTTGGTGGATTAAAGACCATTCTTTTCATTTTCATATTTGTAGCTTATACAGCTGCAATTTTTATTGATGTATTGATTATCATATTGGTCTCAACCATAGAATGTTTAAGCTCCCCTATGTACTACCTTCTCAAAAATTTCTTATGTTCAGAGATTTTACTAGTGACCCTCGTTGTTCCAAACATGTTACGGGTCATATGGCTGAATGGAGCCACCATCTCCATCTCTGGTTGCATCGCTCAGAGTTATCTCTATTGTGCCTCAGGTAGTACAGAATGCTATCTTCTCGCAGCGATGTCCTATGACCGGTACTTGGCCATATGTAAGCCTTTACTCTATAACAAAATTATGGGACAGAAGCTTCAAAATTCTCTGGTAATCTTCTGCTGGTTGCTTGGATTTTTGTCAACGCTGATCACAATGGGTATCCTGACTCAGCTTAAATTCTGTGGAAACTACATCATTGACCATTACTTCTGTGACCTTGCTCCCTTCGTAGATCTTGCTTGCTCGGACACCTCAGTCCTGCAGATAATAATAATCATCTTCTCCTTTCCTATCATGATCATACCATTTTTCTTGGTTTTGGTGAGCTACAGTTGTGTTGTGGTAGCCATTCTTGGTATGTCATCAGTTATCGGGAGGAAGAAGGCTTTCTTTACCTGCAGCTCTCACCTCTCTGTGGTGACTATGTTTTATGGATCTTTAATAATCATTTATCTGGTTCCATCAAACTCAAAAACTCTTAACAAGATGATATCAGTTCTGTACACAGTGGTGACACCTTTGTTCAATCCTCTCATATATAGTATAAGAAATCAGGAAATTCGAGCTGCCATATATTCATTCATTTCTAAATATAAAAACCTCACAATAATGCCATGCAAATGATGAGCAACTATTACCTGTACACTTCCAATCATTTTTAAAATAAATGTAATATCCAAATACTTGATTTTTTTTTCTTGGCATAGATATTGCATTAAAGAGACCCGTCAGATGTGGGGGCCTTTGAGGAAGACCAAACTTAGCTCACTGTTGCTCACCTAGGGGCGGACTGACAACTCATGGGGCCCCCGGGCAATAGGGGATCATGGTGCCCCTGTGCCCTTGCTCAAACTCAAAAAAGCCTATGAAAAAGGTACCAGGGGCATCTCATGGGGCCCCTCGGGCCCTCGGGCAGTGCCTGAGTTTCCAAATGGTCAGTCCGCCTGTCAGGGACCATCACGACGCATGGGTCTACACAGGCAAAGGTGTCTGCCAAGACGTGTAGGTGGCAGGGCACTAGGACCCAGGCGCACCCGTCGTCTTGACAGTACTAGGCAGGCACTAGGACCTAGGCTGCGCCTGTCAGGTGCAGGGCGGGCTATTTAAGCCAGCTCTGCAAAAACACTTGTTGCCGAATGGTCTTTGTATGCTGTTACCTGTGTTGTGAGTATCTTGATCTGGATTGTTTGACCTTGCTGCCTTCTCCTGTCCTGACCCTTGGCCTGCCTGACTCTGCTCCTGGATGTTCCCCTTTAAATCTGATCTTTTGGTATTGACCCTGCGTGTGACCCGACTATCCTTTGCCTACCGTTTTGTACCTCACCGACCCGTTAGTTACCGACCCGGCCTGTATGACTCTGATTTAGCTCATCCATCCATCCTGCAGGGATCACTATGCTCCCTCACATCAGACTCTTAGCCCCCTGGAGCTCCTGTCAGACTCCGCTACCCCTGTTGGAGATACCTAGCAGCTGCGACCTGGTACCGGAGCGCCCCAAGTCTATCCCCACCATCAGGGGCCCTGGTGAACAAGTGCTCCGGTGCTTAGACTCCACACTCTGGGGAGGCTCTGCCAGGGGATTGATAGAGGTGCTGTCAGGCGGTCCATTACACCGCCCCTATTCTCACCACATCTCACAACTATATATTTTACTTAGGGTTCACTACACACCCGCTGAATTATGTACTATGGGGTACGCCAGGACTCTCTTTGTGGTAGATGCAAACGGGATCATGGGGATCTTATCCACATGCTATGATGTTGCCCAAAACTTCATTGGTACTGGGAGGGGGTAATCAACATTCCTTATTCAGTGTTTTAAACTAGTAAAGAGGTAATATGTGAGCGCTATCTAAAACTATATAAAAGATAGCTGCTAGAACACCAAAAAAGGTAACCAAGAATGAACCTTCCAACAGAATACATATACATATAAAGGTGCAGCGCTAAAATAACATAAATACGGACAGCATATTATAGCATAAAATAAAGTGCAGAGTATCGGATCACACTGAGGTGAACTTGAGTGAATAAAAAGTCCCAAGATAAATGAGGGCCCACGTGGGGATCCGGTGGATCCTAATGAGTGCGTGGGGCAGGGTTCCAGTGTACCACACGGTGAATCTAGGGTAAAAAAGTGCGCACTCACCAGAAGTGCATCAAAAGTACGCATGTGAAATTATCCTGTTTCATCAGGTAGCGGTCATCTACTGCCAAGGTAAGGTCAGGATCATACACCTTCCAATTGCAACTCAGGGTAGGTACTCCAAGAGTCTCAAACGTGTCTCAAACGTGTCACCATCTGGGGTCCCTTTGAATAGGTTCAGGGACTGCCCACCATCCTTTGATAACGTTGATCGCACGAAACGCGTCAGTGGAGCTACAGTATCCGGACGTCTGACCACCGCTGGTGGCCATCCTGAACGGTATCTGAACCTGTTCAAAGGGACCCCAGATGGTGACACGTTTGAGACACGTTTGAGACTCTTGGAGTACCTACCCCGAGTTGCGATTGGAAGGTGTATGATCCTGACCTTACCTTGGCAGTAGATGACCACTACCTGATGAAACAGGATAATTTCACATGCGTATTTTTGACGCACTTCTGGTGAGTGCGCACTCTTTTACCCTAGATTCACCGTGTGGTACACTGGAACCCTGCCCCACGCACTCATTAGGATCCACCGGATCCCCACATGGGCCCTCATTTATCTTGGGACTTTTTATTCACTCAGGTTCACCATAGTGTTTTAAACTACCCTAACTCTAGACCCTAAGCAACGCCTTTTGGGAATTTTAGACAGTTTTTACCCAAGATACCTTTTTGATAGAAGCCCTCTCTAAGGCCCTGTTTCAGGCCATTCTTATGCATTGGAAATTTCCCCAAATATGGAGGATTCGAGACTGAATATTGGAACCATTTTGCGATATGATCTCTTAATTTGCCAACAGCGTGAGTGCCCAGGCAAATGTGAGAAATTTTGGGAGATATGGCTGGCCACTCCGGGTCTTGCATCCATTTGATTCTGTAATGTACATATTGTTGTAGCTGTCCTCTTATAATGTATTATGCCTGCTGCCTTTAAAACCTGCCCAGATTTATCTAGATTGTTACACAGGGAGATTTATGCACTATACGCTGCATTGATGGTAGAGTGGGATCTGCTGCCCTACGTGTGGGGTTTTATATACGACTTTGCTGCATAATATCGCTGTTCCTTCTCTTCATTTCTTTTTGTACACTAGATGGCTGGTAGTACTGGAAATTCTTTTTTTTTTGTGTGTTGTTACTTTCTTATTGTTTTTCTTTTGGTTGTGTGTACCAAATGCCTTAAACACTAATAAACACTACGTTTGATTAAAAAAAAAAAAAAGTAGACCTATCACTTACACTAGTTTCATCAAATCACATACCTATGAAGAAGAGACTAAATACTTACCTCTGCTGCCTGCACCACTCAATGCTGTTCTGTTGCAGAGAACTGGTCCAACCAGGGGCGGACTGACAACTCATGGGGCCCCCGGGCATTAGGGGATCATGGGGCCCCTGTGTCCTTGCCCACACTCAAAAAAGCCTATGAAAAAGGTACCAGGGGCATCTCATGGGGCCCCCTACTGACCCCGGGCCCTCGGGCAGTGCCCGAGTTTCCAAATGGTCAGTCCGCCCCTGGGTCCAACCAAGGCTGCTGGAAAAACAACATTTTTAGGCAGGTTGATCCCTGTAGTCCCCCAAAGTCTCATTGGTCCCTCCTACTGACCTTCACCTAACTTGCAGGAAAGAGAGTAACAATGTGGAGGTCAGTAGTTGGGATTAGCCGATTGTTCAGTCCGGCTGTTTGGGCGTTCAGATGAATGTCTGAACTTTTGCCAGTCCAGTTTCCTGTCTGGCGGAAGCCAACATCATATGGAGAATCTGTATTTCTACTGTTTCTCTATGTGACAGCTTCCTACTGTCACTGGTTTCCTAAGGAAGCAGCAGGTGCTTTCATCCATCACATCCCTAGGACCTTCTAACCTCATGGAACATTGCTTTACATGGTCGAAATTCCCTGGCAACAAACAAAAGGGCTAGGATAGCAGTGACACCACTGCCCAAATATGACCACTGGCCATGATGTCACCACTACCATCTCCCTTTCCTTATATAGCTAATAAAGGGGAACTGTCATTCAGCTAGTGGTACTGCCAAGATTGGTCATGTGTGCCAGGTCATCCGGTCTCTTTTCCCACATGTCGGTGGTGGCAACCATTGTGATTGATGATGGAATTATGAGGAACTTTTTGGGAATTTTCTTTTTTTAAATAAAGAGCTTGTCAAACATTTGGGTGTCTTTATTTTTAGGTTGCTTTTTTTTTTTTTTTTGGAAAAGAGTTGGTATACTATGAACCCCTTACTCATTCACACTGGGGCGTGTGTCTGAGGGCTCTTTATTTTTAAAGGGGGCTTCCCAATTCTGATAAAACTCCCCCACCCACATACCCCCATAACCACCAGCCAGGGTTGTAGGGAAGAGGTACTTGTCCTCATCAACATGGGGGCAAGGTGCTTTGCTAGTGGAGTGTTCCCCCTGGCAAGGTACCCCCCTCCCCCATGATGAGGCATGTTTCCTGGTATGGTTCAGGAAGGGGGAGCTGCACAATTGTGTCCTCCTTTCCTGACCAGCAAGGCTGCATGCTTGGATTAAGGGTCTTGTATAGAATTTTAGTGGGACCTCAACCTTTTTATGTTTTTTTTTTTGCATGAAGATCCCCTTAAAATCCATATCAGGTTCAAAGTGTCTGGGTATATATTTTGGGAGGGGACTCTACACATTTTTTTCATTCTTGCTGTAGAATAGAATGCAACAAAAGTAACATTTACAAAGAAAAAAGATACATTTTAAATTTCTGGCAAATTACATTTCATTGCCAAAAAAGAGCACACAGACCCCTTCAAAGGTCCCCCAAAATACATAGCAAACTCTTGGATGAGCATGTGTGCTGTTTTTTAAAGAACCTGGCAATGAAATTTAATTTGTCGACAATTTTAAACACTTTTTTTCTTTTTAGATGTCAGTGCTGCTGCAGCACCTTCTGTACATGACAGAGATGACCCCTTCACAGACAGGATTAGGGCACTCCCAGCCATGTTATTTATTGGAATAGGACATTTTGAATATTTCACATTTTAACAGAAAACGGTCTTTCCTAAACTGTTTCCAAAAGCTTGGAAGTGCCTAACTATCTAAAATGTATTTGTATGCTGAAGCAGCTCCCCTCACTGGAAACATCTAAACTCAATAATTTGGAGGTGGGTCCACATTTTTGGTTGTATAGTGTATATATATGTATATGAATATTTTTAGCAACAGCTGGAATATTAGAAAAAATATTTCCCCAATTCTGCAGATCCACTTCCATGATTTCTAATTGTGTTATGGACTCCATTGTCCTCTTATGCCTGAGTTTATCTCTGTTTGTCTTAGACTGACCTTCTATTTCTGACCTTGGCATTGGATGGTAGTTCTCTAGAGATCTGGCTTCTAAAATGTTCCATGCCCCTGCCTTTTAACACCCTGTGCCTTATCTCCGCATTCACCTGTACCGCTAGGCTTTTCCACATCCCATCAATCACAGCCATCGGCTCTCTGCTATGCCATTTATTATAACTTGACAGTAAAGTGGACCTTTATCCCTTTTTAACCTCCCTAGCGGTCTGATTACGTACATATTTCTGTGCTCAAAGCGGTACATTTTTTTGCATGGAAATACAGTTGCAAGAAAAAGTATGTGAACCCCTTGGGATTACGTGGAGTTTTGCATGAATTGGGCATAAAATGTGCTCTGAACATCATCTAAGTCACAACAATAGAAGAACACAGTCTGCTGAACATAATACTACACAAACCTTAGATGTTGCCATGGTTTAATTGCACATAACATGTAAACATTCACAGTGCAGGGAGGAAAAAGTATGTGAACCTTTGGACTTAATAACTGGTTGACCCTCCTTTGGCAGCAATAACCTCAACCAAACATTTCCTGTAGTTGCAGATCAGACCTGCACAATGATCTGGAGTCATTTTGGACCACTCCTCTTCATGTTCAGCAGACTGTGTTCTTCTATTGTTGTGACTTAGATGACGTTCAGAGCACATTTTATGCCCAATTCATGCAAAACTCCACGTAATCTCAACGGATTCACATACTTTTTCTTGCAACTGTATGTTGCTTTTTTATTGTAGGCCTGTAATTTTTAGGAATAACTCACTGAAATCTGTCCGAACAAGAGTCTAGTAAACATCCCGGGTATGTTAAAATTTGAAACACAAAATCATAAATTATAATTTAATAAATAATCATAAAAAATAATAATATAATAATAATACATTTAGTTCAATAATATAATCAAACCAAAAACACTGAAATGTGAAATAGAGCGCCAAGTTCGCCCATCGCTGAGCTCAGTCGCAGAATCGTTTTTTCAGTGTCTGATGAGGAATTTCCCCCACGAATCATTATCACTCAATTCTGCAAGTGGTTCTGATTTACTATCGCTGTTCTCTAGCCGGTCTAAAACGGGAAAAGGGACGCTTTTTGGACGCCATGGACGTTTCTCAGTTTCCAGGCAGAAAGGACAGTAAAAATGCAGGCAGGACACAGGACAAAGCACTCGGGACAAAATGTATGTGAAATGGTTTGATACAGGAATGTTATACTATGTGATTTTAGTGTATTTAGTGAATGTCACTTTTACAATTTTCAAAGTTCCCACCAATTCCATCCCCCGTACGTCCCGACGTCGCAGGGAACGGAACCCAGAAGACAGATGCCGGGGACGCTGCAGGGGGGACATCGGGGGAGCGCAGGACAAGGTAAGTGAAGAACAGATCCCGGAGCAACGCTGCAGTGTATTCCCGAGTGTAGCTCGGGGTTACCGCTTTTGGTGCTGAAACTTTACCCCGAGCTACACTCGGGAATACCGCCAGGGGGGTTAATGCTCCTCTGTTCTGACTCCTCTCCCTCCTATTTTACAATTGAAAAAAATAAATATATATTTTTTTAAGTTCTAATACTTACTTCTATGTAACTATGGAATTCGCACCTAGGCAAGAATTACATACCAGAACCCCACACATGTGCAGGAATGGTGTGGGTCACTCTGGAAGCCCTTGTGGAATTTATGCACATCCACAAACTGCCTCCTGGGATTTCTACAGAATGCATCCCAGAAGCCATCTTTCAGGATCTCACTTATAAATGGTGTAGGAGTCTCTACTAGTGTACTGGTTGGGCCCATCGCATTTCTCCACATCTCTACTCAGTTCTAGCACATGTGCAGACATGTTGCAGGATCTGCCAGGTCCCATAGACTTCACAAAGGTCCCTATGGCATGTCTGCACATGTGTTGGAACACAATTGAAAATGACGGTGCCGGAGAAGATCAGTAGAGAGAGAATTTCCCTACAAGTAAGACAATGTTGGACTCTGTGGACTATTAAGTATATTTTTTTAGAGGGACACGTTTTCAGATTATTACATTTTACTTTTGATAGTAAAAGCTGAGTGCCCTGCTCATGGAGCTTACAATCTAAAGGGAGGGGTAGGTGGTACAAAAGATAATGGTACTGCGGGGGATGATCTGATGGAGGTGACCAAAGTATAGTTTTTAGGTGGAGGTGGGGTAGGCTTCCCTGAATAAATGAGTTTTCAGGGATTGTCTAAAGGTAGACAGGATAGGAGCTAACCAGACATAGTGAGGTAGGGAATTCTGGAGGATGGGAAAAGTTCTGAAGAAGTCCTGAAGGTGTGCATTGAAGGAGGTAACAAGGGTGCTAGTAAGCAGGAGTTTCTAATATAAAGAGCACAGTACAACAATCCAATGCAAATATATACAAAATGCATCAAATCAAACAAAATATTCAGAAAAAAAATAAAAAGTACGTATACAGTACATCGAGTGTCCAAACATTCAATTCAAAATCCAAAAACTCTCCTTTCTGTGAATTCTAATTATTCATATATTGCTGTGTTATCCTCCACCATAAGAGCGCCAAATTATGTGTAAAATCATTAATTGGTCACCACTAATGGCTTAGAGAGTAGGAGGCCTTGGGAGGAGCGGAGCAGACAATTTGGGCAATATCTGCACATGAGGTTGGTGATGTAGCTGGAGGTGATGTTGTGGATGGCTTTGTATGTTGTGGTTAGTATTTAAAATGTTGTACATTGGGCTACTGGAAGTCAGTAATAGGATTGGCAGATGCAGAAGCCATGGAGCTGTTAGTGAGGTGTATAAGTCTAGCAGCAGAATTCATAATAGACTGAAGGGGGGAATAGCCTGCGTAAAGGTAGGCCAGTGAGGAGGGAGTTGCAATAGTCAAGAAGGGAGATAACCAGGGAGTGAATAAGCTGTTTTGTGGTGTCATTAGTTAAGAAGGGGTGAGTTCTGGATATGTTGCAAAGGTTAAGGTGAGATTTAACAGTGATTGGATGTGGGGCTTGAAGGAGAGGCCAAAGTTTATGATTATACCCAGGGTCTTGGCATGTACAGAGGGACCAATAATTGTGCTGTTGATCTCAATGGTAAAGTCAAGAGGTGGGGGGGGTTAGACAGACTGAGTTTGAGGTAATGTTGTGACATCCATACTGGTAAAATTTGTGATATGTGAAGCAATCAAGGAGGTGAGCTGGGGAGCAGGAAAATAGATCTGGGTGTCTTTGATGTAGAGGTGGTATTGGAAACTGTGACAGGTTATCAACTGGTCCAGAGAAGAGGTGTAGAGAGAGAGAAAATGGGGGCCCAAAGGAAGAGCCTTGGGGTACCTCAACAGAAAGAGAAGTGCAGGAGATAGAACTGTAGGTGACACTGATAGTGCACTGAGATAGGTAAGAGGAGAACCAAGGAGCAGAGTCATGGAGACCAAGGGAGTGGAGTTTAATAAGGAGTAGTGGGTAGTTGATTGTGTCAAAAGCAGAGGAGAGGTCTAAGAGTGTGAAGTAATGACCATTGATTTTGGCAATTAGTAGGTCTTTAGTGAATTTTAGTATGGCAGTTTCAGTGGAATGTTGTGGACAGAAGTCAGATTGTAAGGGGACAAAGAAGGTTCATATCAGTGAGGTAGCAACTCGTACAGTTGTGGACAAGTCATTAGAGAACCTTGGAGACAAATGGAAGTAGAGAGATGGTGTCAGGAATGGACTCACCACTGGTGGTGGGACTCACCTGCCGTGTGGGCTGCAGTACCAGGGCTGGCCAGCGGGTGCTCTCAGCAACCAGAAGCTCACTCCTGCAATCAAGTCATCACCTGAGGCTGATTGCAGGAGGTGTATTTAAGGAGTGGCCAGGCCTGCAGTCAATGCCTTGGTGTATGTTTCCCATGAGCCCCTGTACCTGCATCCTGTCTGCTTCCTGTCTGATCCTGTTTCTGCTTTGATCCTGACTCTGAACAAACTCCGCCTGTCCTGACCTCGGTTATTCCTGACCACTCTTCTGCCTGCTCCTTTGTGTCTTGTCTGCCCGATGGTTCCTGACCCGGCCTGCCTGACCACTCCACCTCACCAGCCCTGTCTGCTCTTGTCTGTGTTCATTCCGTTATCAGTTGGAGGTTTGGTTTTGTTATATTGTGCGTTTTATATTTGTGTATAACCTTTAATAAATTATATTGTTACACCATACTTGAGCCTGCGTTTCCCTGTGTCAGTTCACACATCTCTGGTCTTACCGGGAGCCCTGACAGATGGGGTCCAGTAAGATTTTTTTTTAAGTATGGGGGTAACCAGTGCATGCTTAAGAGTGGAGGGAAAGGTGCCAATGGAGAGGCTGAAAATATGGGTTAGGATAGAGCAGCAAGGGGGCTGTAGTATTTTTAAGGGGTTAGGGTCCAGGGCACAGGTGGTGAGGTGGGTCTTTGGAAAATTCCTTGTTAACAGAGTCAAAAGAAGAAAGTATTGAGTGTGGTATTGGAACTGGTATGTTGGTTGGAGCAGATAGCTGGACACTGGAGATCTCTTCAAGAATGATATAGTTCTCGTTTCTGAAATGATTGGCAATATTCTGGGCAGTAAGTAAGTTAGTGGTGGGGCAGTGGGGGATGAAGTAAGAAATTAAAGTCAGAAAGAAGTTGATGAGGATTGGATGAGAGGGTTTTGATGAGAGGGGTGTAGTAGGTTTGTTTAGTAGCATGCAGGCAGGAGTTGTATTTGAGAAGGGCAGATTTTTAGAGGGTGAAGTCTTACAGTGATTTAGTTTTATGCCACACTTGCTGAAGAGCACAGACGTGTATCTTAAGACTTCTGGTGTCTGTTTGTCATGGTTGTAGCAGGCAAGGCCTGCTTCTGTGTGTAGACAGTGCAGCAAGTGTGTACAGGGAGTAAGTTAATATAGACAGATGTGGCCATGTCTGGGCAGGAAAGGGTTGCAATTTTTTATAAAGGCAGTCAGTATCAGAGTGAAAAAGGAAAGGGTTGATAGTGGCAAAGGTTTCTATGGGTAACTGTTTGCTGGTTGGAGGCATAGGAGGTAGAAGACCTGGTTACTAACATTTATAGGTAAAGTTGATCCAGGGAATATCCGATTCCCTCTCGGGGGATCAGGAAGGAATTTTTTCCCTGCAGGAGTAAATTGGATCATGCTTTGCTGGTTTTTTTGCCTTCTTCTGGATCAACTATGGGTATAAGATTATAACTTTTTTTTTATGGTTGAACTGGATGGACTTTTTCAGCCAGACTAACTATGTAACTATGTAACTAAGACAGGGAAAGTGTGAAATGGATAAGATTTGCGATTAGCGACAAGAAAAGGGGTATTAAAGAGGTTGTAGGGAATACAGAGGTGGGAGAATACAAGGTCGAGGGTGTTGACATTGGAGTGAGTGGTGGTTTGTGCCCATTACTTTAGGTTAATAGAGGAGGTTAGGTTGAGTAGTTGAGAGGTGGTTGAGGTGTAACCATTGACTTTAATGTTTAAAGTCACCGAAGATGATGGTGGGTACTTCAGAGAAGAGAAAGTATGGTAGCCATGCAGAGCAGTCAACAAAAAAGTGTGATGCTGGTCCCAACTGATAAAAGACTGCAGTCCTCAGACAAACTGGAGGAAAAGGACGAATATTGTGAGATTCAAATGAGCAGAGGGACAAAGAGGGAGGTATAGGAAGAACCTGGAGAGTTAATAAAGTTTTAATATTACCATCCTGCATTATGAACATCACATCTCTGAAATCCTTCTACTGGATGGGAATACTACAGTCATATCATGATGTCCTAACATAGCAGTCACACAGAAAACTGAGAAAGTGCAGGAATACAAGAGTACAGTTCTACAACCAATCCTAAGATTTATGTTTTATTATGATATATACTGTATATAGGATTATTAGCCAATAACAGTTTCTGGATCTGTTGATGATCAACCTTTTGTGGAGCAGCAGCCACAGCCTCCCAGACATTGTTCAGAGAGGTGTACTGTTTTCCTTCACTGTAAATCGAAAGTTCCCAATAGGGTTTAGTTCAGGTGAGGAAGGGGGCCATGTAATTTTTCTTTCTTCTTTAAGGCCTTTACTTGCTAGCCACACAGCAGAGTACTTTGATGCATGCAATGGAGCATTGTCCTGCATAAATATCTCGGTCTTTTTGAAAGATGCAGACTTTTTCCTGTACCACTGCTTGAAGAAAGTGTCTTCTAAGAACTGGCAGTAGGTTTGGGAGTTGATTTTGAGTCCATCTTCAACCAAAAAAGGTCCAACTAGCTCATCTTTAATAATACTAGCCCATACCAGTACCCCACCTCCACCTTGCTGGCATCTGTGTCGAAGTGGAGCTCTGTGCCCGTTACTGATCCAGCCATGGGTCCATCCATCTTGTCCATCAAGAGTCACTCTCAGCTCATCAGTCCATAACACCTTTGAAAAATCTGTCTTCAGATATTTCTTGGCCCAGTCTTGATGTTTCAACTTATGTGTCTTGTTCAGTGGTGGTCGGGTTTTAGCCCTCC